AAAACACTGACTACCGCAACACCGGAACACCGGAACACCACCATTTTGTTTGGGGTTAGGGTTTGGGGTTAGGGTTAGGATTGGGGGTTAGGGTTGGGGTTAGGGTTAGGATTGGGGGTTAGGGTTGGGGTTAGGGTTAGGTGGTGTTCCGGTGGTGTTCCGGCGGTGTTCCGGTGTTCCGGTAGTCAGTGTTTTACTACATGCCCCCGAGGCGGACGAAACTTAAACTGGACTCAATTTATTTATACTAGAGGACAGCACTAGTTTGTTTAGTTTAGACCTAGTATTTGTCCTTAGACCTTAAAGGCGAAAACATATTATGGCCCGTCTCATGTTTAAGGTTGTCAATAATTTGGCACCATCGAGGTTCTCATCAATGTTCCAGAATTCTAACCATATCCACAGTTATAATTTACGAGGTTCAAATTCGTCTCTCTTTCTGCCACGACCAAATACCGAGTATGGCAGAACAGTTTTCGATATTGTGGGGTTAAAATCTGGAATAGTATTCCTGAACAAAGCGAATCTTTAAATTCTTTCATTAGAAATATTTCCTCTGTTAGATCTAACTTTGATCCTATAGCTAGTTTAAACTTTCTAAATATTTAGAAGCGTTATAACATTTGAGTTATTTGGTCTACTCATATATTTTAAAATTTGCTCTCATTGGCTGTTTTGATTAACTTTCAAAAACTAAAAAATCGCGTCGCGTTGTCGAATCGCGTCCGGTGTATTGAGAGCCAGGTTTCGTGTATGTCGCTGATGGTCAGCGGATGCACTCATAGATCATTTTTTATAGTGATCATTGTCTATCGAAGGAGATCAAACTATTTGATGTAGACAAAGGATTTTACTCATCAATGATCAATGGATTGAAAGACCATCCCAAAGAATGAGTATCAAGGCATTTGCAGACGAATTTAGTATCTTTTCCAGCGAAATCTGCCGTTATAGTCCGCCAATCGCCATGATGGAAAACGTCTAAGTCCCCCCCCCCGGCTGAAACATTTCGGCAATAGTCCCACCCCCGGGATTAGGAAAGCTGCGAAGGCCCGGGGGTGGACGGGGGGATGGGCACTGCTGGAATTGACTGATACATAATAGTTTTGTTTGTGGAAACACCACGTAAATTTATTCTTTATTATTTATTACGTAAATTTATTACTTTCAGTAACTTTCAGTAATAAATTTACGTGGTGTTTCCACAAACAAACCTATTATTATCAATGTGCTTTATGACAATGGTATCGAGATAACGAAATACCTTTAAAAAGCACAATACACTGATTAATTATTGAAAAAGAACCCACAAAATGCTTGAAAACATGACAATCTTTCCGGTTTCTAAATTACGGCAAATTAAAATATTTCGAAACTCTTTAAATCTTTATTTAGCTTTGCCTTTGGCGTAATCGCCTCAATTGAAATTGCCTCAATAATGTTGGCGTAATAAATTGGTTCTATACAAAGTCTTGTCTTCTGCGACATTCACATAGGCGTACCGGGCGGGGGCCAGGTTTTTGGGCAGTCGGGCAATTTTCGATCAACAGTCGGGCAATTTTAGTTTGTAATAAAAAAAATTGGGACAAATTATGTAAATTTAGTGGAAAATTCAGTCAATTTTGTTGTAAATTTTGGGTTTTTTTGAAAATTTGTGTGATGTTCGGAAAAATTTTGGTATGTCCGGAAAATGTTTTTGACCCCTAAAATGGTACACTGACCGAAAATTTTTTGACGAGGGGGGGGTGGGGGGAGGAGGTCGCCGAAATAATTTTTCCGGAAAAAATTTTTTAGGTACTAGTCGGGCACAATCCCGAAAAGTCGGGCAAATTTCTTTCCGCCTTGAGGGTCCTGAAGAGGTAAAATGGGAACTGGGATTGATCTATTTTTAGACTGGGAAAATGGGATTTGGGACTGGGATTTGGCCACTGGGAATGGGAAATGAAGTCCTCAAAAATGGGAATGGGATTGAGGTAATGTGAGTCGATTCCCAATTTTTCTGCGTTTTGAGTATTTTAAAATACAATTTTGATCCGTTTTTGGTGTCTTTGGTCATGATTTTTGTTGTTAACTATATTATTCACAGCACTATCTGCGAACAGGCATACTCTGGCGCCCGGAATTCTGGGTTTTATGATTATGCGTGTCTCAGAATGCTGCAAATGCCATTTCCGGGATTCAAATTTAAAAATTTTCCGTGCCTTCGGCACGAGCCCCCCCTAATATTTCATAAAGTGTCCGCCACTTGCTTAAAAGGTCTTAAAACTGTTTATTCTACCGATAAATAAAGGGGTTTTTATTGACTGGGATTTCAATAACTGGGACTGGGATTTGTAATAAAAATCCAACTGGGACTGGGATTTTGCCAAAATTTCGGGTGGGAAATGGGATTGGGACCCCCCCCCCCCCTTCAGGACCCTCAACCTTCTTTGATTTGCGCTGTGATATTGTCGATTCATTTCAGTTATGCAGCAAACATGAGCTCTTGGTTTATAAAGTCGGTTTAGTTAAAGCGTACTCGTGTAGCTGGTAACACACTCGACCAATGAAAGATAGTCCTTACTGGACCTTGAGGGCCCCCTATACTTTTTGCGTGAAGTGTGATGGGCTTATTTTACTCAGCCGTGAAACGTGATCGATGATTTTCTTAATCCGTGATTCGTGACGGTATGACTTCCAATCTTTTTACGTGCACGTGAAGGAAAGATTCGATTTAACCGTGACCCGTGAATGGCAGATAGAAATATTCGTGATTCGTGAATCTTCTGTTTTGTGACCTTTTGTGTGATCAGCTTTCCAAGGAATAAATACGGTTTGTTTTTTGAAGTACTTGATGTACAGAAGCCTGTTTTCGACATAGTTGGAGGTTTGAAATAATGTCGAGGTATAAAGTACAGAGGAGCGATTCCCGAATATCTATATCAAGTCGTTACTAAAGAACGGATCACTAAGTATCACTAACAATGCGTTCCCGCTGCGAACGCGGTATTACATATCAGTAATAAGCAATCGCTCTCGTACGATTGTTGTATTGAGTTAAGATTGAAATTATCTGTATTTTTCTAGTCTACAGGATGGTTAATTAATAAACTTGGTACGACCGTCCTTACCTTG